TCTGACTGGGCGGTGCAAGAGAGCACCCGGCCCAGAGACCTGGGTCCTTCTTATAAGAGGTTCCTCCTCAGGGTCGACTCCACTGTCAGGATGAGGCCTTTTGCCTGGTTCTTTGTCCCGAGCGCCCCCAGCGGCAGCAGGGGCTGTAGTGATTTGTGGAGATGCGCTCGGGTTGGTAGCAGGGGTGCTGACAACAGAATCAATAGCCACCGTGCTCGGGATGGTGTCAGAGATGGTGGCTGAGGAAGAGGCTGATGCAGGAGAGGAGGTTGCCCCAGCAGCAGAAGTGGCTGGGGGAGTATTTTTCTTCCTGCCAAAGGATGGAATCTGAAGCCTGCTCATGGTATAGCCGAGGGATGAGAGCGCTAGAAGGTTGTCTGAAGTGAGGAGGTCTGAGCAGGAAGGAATATCGTTCAGAACGTATTTCTTCAAGTAATTACTCCTATCCCTGCAAACACTGTAGCTCAAGTCATCACAAGGTATTCCTAAGGAGCGGCATAAGAAAGTACAAAAGCGAGGAACACATGTTTCGCAGGGACAATCGTTTTTGTGAGATTTGAATTTCTTATATGAGGAAACAGAACAGACGCCAAAGGCGCTCGGGATTGGGTAATCCTCTATAGCCGGCGAAGACCAAGCCCCACTAATGCCCAAGATGTTATCCCTCCAACCCTTTTCAGATTTGATTGTGTCCGTACATATGGACATCTTGTCGATCGGGTAGAGGTGGTAGAAGGGCTCGTTAGTTCGGATCTTACTGACCTTATAACACAGAAGAAGATCTATGAGGTCAAGGTCCAGGCTTCTGTCACGAATCAACAATAGCATAACGGATATGATTCTAAAGAAATTGGGGTTTACCTGCAGGGGGGATATCCCCAGTCTATTGAAGACATAATTAAAGAAGGGATGCAGAGGGAACCTAACGACATTTAGTTGAAGGTTTGAAAATAAAACTTCGCCGGGAAGGAGGCCGGCACCGGTCATAATATTAACATCCTTAGGGCAAACCCTAACTTGGATGTTGTCAGGAAGTCTAAGTCTCATACGAAGAACATCTAGATCTACAACAATGGTGGAAGTGATTGAAGGATCTAAAAGGGTAAAAAGAAGCCTGCCGAAAGTAAAAAGGAACAAAACTAACCTCTGAGGTAGAAAGCAACAAAGAGCACTGCAAGACCGCTGGAAGAATGACTCTTGAAGGATTTCACCGGAAAAAGCTTAGCACTGTTCTAAAAAGAGAGAGATTTGACTGGTGATGAAGACGGTAAAAAGGCATGAAGTGGTATTCTAGAGCCTTATAAAGGCGAGGGGGACCCGAGGGCCGAAGCGTCAGGAAGGCGAGAAATTCATCGAGCCCCGGAACATTGATTCTGGATCTGACCGTCCGTTCCCCCATGTGGGTTTCTCGAGCCGTCAACGTCATGATGAGACGCCTTCAATAATTACCCCCTTATTAAACAAGGGGTAATTATGGGGGCAGTTGAGGAGGCCCGAGATGACATGGGCCGGATATGACTTGCAAACGCGACATCCGGTCCGTACAGATGGGTCAGGCCCATAGAAAGACACTGCCATATGGGCCGAACGCGAATAAGCCCATCAAAGATGACCAGGACTTATGGAGGAACGGGCCTAGATCCAGCAGTCCATCAACATTTGTAAATATCTATAAATAGGAAAAGTAATGGAAAGAAGGGGGAGATATTTTTTGGTTGAAATACAAGAATTCTAGAGAGAGAAAGAGGGAAGGAATTTCTTGTATCTTCAATGATTAATATTTATTCATTCTGTACATTTTATTTAAAGGTTTGCTCCCTCTCTGCCCAAATTCCCCATTATTGTTATTTCTTATGAGGATGCTTTTAACAATGCGAGAAAGCACTTGACATTTCCATTGGAAAATAAATACAGTAGAAATTGGTAGGCATTGGTCCGGGTTGACCCGACCTTGTCGTAAGGGGCCAATTCGAGATCAATGCATGTAAGTCTGAATGTCTGATGTCTGCATTTTTGACAGAAAAAAATCTTCAGTTGCAGTAATGCTGAGCTATGTGCATAATTTTTTGGTTGTCCACATATTTCAACATACACGCATGCATGTTTTAACTCTCATTTAATACTTCAAGTTTCATTACTCCTTTTTATGCCAAAGAGATTATGCTATTATTTCCATATTTGAAAACCATGATTTTAGATTTATTGGATTATAATCAATAGTATGGAAGGATGTCGATGTTATATCAATTGTTTCAATAACGAAGTTAAATGATTTTCTTGGCAATATTAGCATGTAATGCAGTTGTGTCTCCTTTAAAACTTTTCCATTAATGGAGCTGTGTTATTTCAGGAGGACTTTCTGGCACTGCTCCGAGATGAAAAAGATCCTGAAGACAAGATGATACAAACGGAAATTTCTGATGAAGATTTTAAAAGGGTTTGGACCGCAGTGATCTGCTTGCTGCTACGCTAAACAAAAAGGGAGAACCAAACGCCGGTGTTAATCTGTTTCCTCTTAAAGGGCCGACTCAGAATCCGCCAATGGTCAACCCTACAATGCCGTAGATCAGATCAACCATCTCCAAGAACTGGCCGATCACAAGAGGCACGGATTAGATTCTCTTCACCTCTTTAATGACATTTGCTGAGTCTTGACTATGATAAGGGGCTTTGGAGAGGAACGAGAGGAAGTGAAAATAATGGATAGATGATACCAAGTTTTCCTTTTTTAGACTCGTTACTTGTACCAAAGAAATGAGAGGTTTTGTTTAGCTCAGTCACAAAAAAAATAAAAAAAAATGGAACCAAGCTATTGTTTAGATCACTCGCAAACAAAAATAGTAGCATATGTTTTGTTTAAAGTTAAAGAAGGTACAGTGGTTTAGTTCTAAGTCACAAAGTAAAAAGTCTATTATTATCCCATCATTAAGTACATAAGCAATAACAGGGCTCACATGAAAAGGTTTACATTGTTAGAGAAAATTTTAATGATTCACATAATACCCATGGTAAGTTTAACTCTCTATATATAGTTTTTCTTTATTCGACCTCAATAGTATATTCACATTAACAAGAATTTTAGGAGATTATACATGTCAACACTACCTTTCTCATCTTAGAAATTGAAACTCAAATCAATGAAAAATCATCTAAAGACCATAAATATATATATATAACCTTAAGGTAGTGATCATCCCAAGCCAGTGACCCACATTAAATCCTTCACAAGTTTCTTACCCTCTCCAAGAATATTCCAAAAACTATACCACATAATATATATATATATATATAAAGAATCATTAAAAATATCTCCAAAAATTCAATATAAATTCTAAAAATTCTATATAAATTTAGCATAGCCCATCCAAGTCTAGAATCTCACCGAATATAAGAACACCTCTCACCATACGGACCGACACAATTAAGTTCTAATATTTTATTTCATTTTTCTTTGGCAAAGAACTAGCACACGGGGAAGTTAAACTTTTGAACTCTTACTTTTAGAAGTGGAAGAAATATCATTACACTACAATTTTCGATTCTCTTTGTCTCTCTTTAATAAAGGGTATATGCCCATATATTATTCTGTAAACCATCCTTCCTCAAAAAATAAAAATAAAAAATAAGTTAGTAATGTGAAGGTATTTGAAATTATCAGCTTCCTTTCGAGAGAATTGAGAGTAAAGTCTGTTTGCAAATTCTAGCATCCAAAAACATGTCAGATCCAAAACAACGCAGATCAATGGCATACACTACTCCCTAAAATCCTGCCTGACACCTAACTAAATCCCACATAAACTAACCAGTCTCTCAGTTGTTGAGATTGGAGAGCATGCCTCCACGCAATTGGCATCACCATCCCAACCAGGCCCTTTAAGGGAAAACAAACTAACAGCAGAATCTGATTCTCCCTCTTCATTTGGCGTAACACGAAGCAGATCACTGCGGTCCAAAACCCTTTCCAAATCTTCATCAGAGATTTCCGTTTGTATCATCCCGTCTTCAGGATCTTCTTCATCTCAAGAGCAGTGCCAAAAGGTCCTCCGGTAATAACACAACTTCATTAATGAAAAAGTTTGGAGGGAGATAGAGTCTAATATTGTCAAGAAAATCATTTAACTTTGTTATTAAAACAATTGATCACTCAAAAAACCACGTGGAGCATTGCAAAGAAACAGAAAGCTCAAGTGATATAACATGGACATCCTTGCATACTATTGATTGTAGTCTAATAAAACTAAAATCATGGTTTACAAATATGGAAACAATAGCAAAATCTTTGGCATAAAAAAGGAGTAACGAAACATAAAGTATTTAATGAGAGTTAAAACATGCATGTACATGTGTGTGTGTGTGTGTGTTGAAATATACGGACAACCAAAATAATATGCACATAGCTCAGCGTTACTGCAGCTGAAGATTTTTTTCTGTCAAAAAGGCAGACATCAGACATTTAGACTAGCATGCATTGATCTGGAATTAGCCCCCTTACAACAAGGTCGAGTCAACCTGGACCAATGCCTACCAATTTCGTGTTGACCCCACAAAATTGTAAGAACCCTGAGCCAAGCCACAACCCTAGCCAGTCTACATATTTTTTTTGATAAGTAGCCAGTCTACATATTAAGCTTTAGAAATCATAAACAGTCCAAGAGAAATTTGAAAACACTGAGAGAAGATTTAATAATATAGCAGAAAAAAAATTTAAAATTTTGAATGACTTGGAAATTTTCGAAATAACTTGGGAGTAGGACAACTGAATCGTGTCAACAAGTGTTCATTTGTCTGTTGTAGAAAATAGAAAATATACATTATATACCAAAGTCTTAGAAATGCAGAAACAAGTAATACCATGCATCATTAAGAAAAAGCATAAATCAATCTGGCTCTCTAATAAACACATTGTCCAACAGAGAACACAGCATGTCATTCGAGGACTATTGAGCCAACAGAACAGTACACATCACATGGTTGAAGATATCAAAATAGATATCACAAACCTCCGTAATATCTGTACTGTTGGATGTGGTTCTTTCTTGCTGAAACTGCCCTTTCCCAATCACGACATGCTCAAGCCTTAACTAACTGCAAGCTCTTTTCAGAATTCGACCCTGATAGCGTTATACAGCTTCTTCCCATTACAAGTAGAATAGCAAATTGCATTACATAAAACAAAAGAACAAAGCCAATCATAAAGGACCTCTACAGATTTGAGTTGTTGCCAGCCTGTAAACATGAACGAGCTTTGTTTGACCTATTCTGTGACATCAATCCATAGCATGTAAATCCATTCGGGGATTTTGGGATGCAACTGAATATATGATAAACCAAAAATGTCAAGTGCATCAAATGAAAAGGCCAAAAAGACCAAAACAAGCTCAAGAATTAGAGAAAACCATGGTTTGAGGAAAGTACCCGATCACTATAGTATAAAATGCAGGTATCAGCTGCAGTAAGATTGTTACCCAGCCCACCAGCCCTAGTGCCGACGAGATTCCGTAGTTACTGTTCTAGTCATTGAACTCCTTGATCTGTTTGACCAAAAATAACAGGTTATCACTAAAATAGAAGATGGTTCACTGAAATGAGGGCAGTTTTGCGACCAAAACAAGCACTATAGACAAATGTATGGAGAGAAATTTATTCTAAAGAAAAGGACAAGAGGCAGCAACAATGAGACTAAACATATTCATGGCATGGGTGCAGGCTTGTAAGTTTATATTGGACACGTCAAAATTACATTGTGTGTGACTATGACAAGAAAAAAAGAACACGGGCGCACGCACTCAGACATACACGCGCGCACAAACACATATAACATCCTGTATACAGAGTGTATCATAACCTATCTGGATAAACAAGTAATAAAATTGCAAAGATAATCAGTGTAGTGATTGCAGAAAAAATAAGATAAACAGCGTCACCTCAATGATCAGCCCAGTGGGGCTTACCAAACTGAAGAGCATATATTCTGGCAAATTTTGTAAACTGTGCAGGAAAAAAAAAAAAAAAAAAAAAAACACTTGCACTTAGAAAACAAGAAGTTTCTGTAAACCAAAACTACAAAATTTTTAAATTAATTTATAAAAATGACTTGGAAGTTGGAGCAATATCAATGTTAAGAGGTAGTCCTTACCTGTCTTTTTCTTTCAGACAATTTCACACTACCACCAATTCTACAAACCTCAAATCCCTTTTCACTGAAGTCGTAATCAAGTATATCTAAACTTAGTCTACGCCAGAAGATTAGAACCTGATTGAGAATACAACAAAAGATTAATAGAATGATAAAGTAAATTAGAATAATAAATAAATAAATAACCAATAAACTCTACAGCGTACTTTGTGCTTCCAAGGAAATAACTTTGCCAGCCATCTGTCCAGCAAGTGAAATTTGCCGCACTGTTCAACTATCTGCTATACAGATGGGTAGAGGCTGTAAAGAAATCAAGAAAGAAAAAAATTGCATAAAATTATAGAGAACCCATTATATTTTAGATCTAATTGATATTGCAAAAAGCATACAAGAGCCATCAAAGGCTGACTCTAAGAGATCAGGGCGGATTCAGTTCTTCCGAAATTGAAGATTATTAAGCTTGCCTTTCATACCACGTCCTGCGTATATATTCAAAGTGAGCACGGAAAAATTGAAAAATATAATGAAAAGAAAATGTCGCTATTATCAGCAAAAATTACAAAATATAATGGCTTGTTAATGCTTACAGGCAAAAGTGCACCAGTAGAATAAATGAACTCTAAAACCAACAGCCATAAAGGCGGGAACCAAAAACATACCTCTCCGAGCCAATGTGAATTGTACCAACAAGTTGAGGACCAACATCAGGATGTCTCAATTTGCAACACCGAAATGGAGGCAATGCATCAACAGCTAAGTTCATTTTAGTAGTTCCCTGCTCCAGTAAATAAATTCACAAAAACTATGATAAATCCAAGTAAACTCCAATTCAGGAACTAATCTAAGAACAAAGAATAATAGGAAAGAAGTCCACCAAACATTCCCAACTTTTGTCTGGGTTTCAGTAGGCAATGATTACCAGATAAGTACAACTCACAGTGGGCATGAAATAAAACTACCGTTCATGACATAATACCCTTCTGAAAAACTACTGTTGATCACCTTATTACCAGCAACAATGTCCCATGGGTGGCTAAGTATAACATTTTAGCTGAAACCTGAACGAAAGCTTACAATGCTCCCTCTGAAGAAATTATTATCAGCTCAACCCCCAAAATTGTATGCTAGTTCAGTCCCTCCATTTACATTGTGATTTCTAATCTTTTAGGACAATCCAAAAACTACTGTTGATTACTTTATCACCGGCAACAAAGTCCCACTAGTGGCTGGGTATAACGTTTTAGCTGAAACCTGAACGAACACTACAACAAATACAGGCTTTAGAGTCAGTCAAAACCGCTGCTATAGCCTATTGCAGCAGCATAGCGGTGGTCAGTATAATAGCCACCTAAGGCCTCGACACAATAGGTATTTGGGTTATAGACCGCCGCTAAATCTCAGCGTTACACGTCTAAATTGTAGCTTCCAATTTCTTATAAAATATTTTATCAGCTTCATTGTTATAAAACATTTTTTTTTTTTTTTGGCAGATTAAAAAAAGCTAAAGTTAATGACCTACTTCTACAAGAGTTAGCTTCCAATTTCTTAGAAAATAATTTATCAGCTTCATTGTTATAAAAACGTTTTTTTTTTTTTTTTTCTTGTTTTTTTGGGCAGATTAAAGAAAGCTAAAGCTAGTGACCTACTTCTGCAAGAGTTCTCAACTAATACAAAAACATATTCATAACAGGTCTCTACAAAATCTATCGATATAGATTTAAACCCAAAAAATTGAATACAACCAATTCGTGAAAAAATCCATCTTTAAGCAGAAAGATATCTGTAAACCTGTTCTTCCACATTATTCCATGTAATTTACCAAAACATGTTAGAAAATTTCAAGGCAGAAAATTTATTTACACCTACCTTCCTCAATGACAGAATGCTTTTAGCTTCTGTATTTCATCAATCGACATCTCAATTCCTTCACGTCCGACTGTTTGATGGGCTTTAACAAGAACATTGGAGCTCCTTCTAAGCACCCCCATTCATGCAAGTACTAATTTATGGTCAACTTTATGTTGTTGAATCTAAATTCTAAATTTGTATTATACTGGGCTGACAAAAGTAAACTGAAATCAATTAAGATGCTTAGGATCCTCCAAAAAATGGTGAGCCACCAAGAATGAGTCAACATTTATACTCTGGACTGACTCTCTTCCTTTAGCGCCAATAGCTACTGTTAATAACAACAAGCTCACAGACATAATTTGGACAAGAAAAATACCAAAACCCGTTATAATCAACCTCATCAAATTCACAATCACAGATAAAAAAGCAATTCAGGCTATGTTTTGGGTTAAGAGATCTTCCCTTGTATCACAATGATTATATGACCTAGAATTCAAAATTCAAAAGTGTACGTATGAGAAATCAACCCTTGCATATCTAATCTGCTTTGAGGATGTATCTAACTGATGTGATGCTCAAGTTATATAGTTTCTAGACTAGAATCACTAAACTCCAAAAGAAAGGGATCACAATCGAACATCAATGGAATTCAAGAAAGGAGAGAAACAAAGGGATCTTAAGAATTTAAGGAACTATAAATTATACTTTTAGGCAAAAAAAATATGAATTGCAAGAAAATATAGGAAAGACACCCTTCTTCCAGTATATACATTTATTCAACATAATAATTCAAGCCATTTTAGCCTGTTCCAAAACCATGCAACTTCTCACGATAATTACTAAATTGATGCAAGACTCACCATGCAACTTAGAAAAATCATAGGGGTCAACATTCTGCTGACCTTCGCCAAGAACATACCATCCCACTTCAAGACTCGCTTCAGAATTCTGATTAAAGTCGTTTTCTGCAATAAATTCAGAAACAACATCCCATTTTACTTGGTCTTTCTTATCATTATGCATACACTACAACCACAAAATATTTCAGTATATACACGTATAAATGCGCACGCACATGCACCCATAGAAAATAACAGATTTAATGGCATATATAACAATAAACCACATATTAAATAACGTGTTTACATGGCAATTCAGGAAATAGCCAAGCATAACAGAGTCTGAAAGTAGGAACCCGAATATGATTTTTAAGCAAAACATCAAGCTTCAAATTATGGAATTCCATAAACTATCATCCTAATGGAATTGAAGATACGAAGTAAATATAAAATAGAAATTAATAAAGCAATGTTTGATAAGAATCATGGAATACCATAAACTATCATCCATAGATGTTCTTAAGTTGGGATTCTGATAGTGTCTTCTGAAAAATCACTGTACTGGCTGCTTCCAAAAGCAGACGAGCAATTCTACTTGGTGACATTCAATCCAAATGAAACATGTTCTTTGTTAATATCAGTATGTGTATGCACTATGCAAATACTACTCACCACTAACCAACTCGAAACCCTAACTTTCCATGATGAGAGAGAGAGTCTTACATTGAGCTGACTGGTAATAGTCCTGGTTCCATGGAGCTAGAATCACAGAGCCCATGGCCGATCTATCTCCCAATCAAGCAAACGCATTATGCAGTCCCTTCACCTGATCACAATCGCAAACAAAATCACATGGAGCAAACATTTTCAATATACAAAATGAAGAAAACAATGAAATTAAAAAAAGATCAAGAAAACGGCAGCACCACTCTCTGCCACCCATGTTACGACTACAAGACCAGGGAATCGGCAGAGCAGCCAACTCAATAGGGCGAAAAAGGGCACAAATAGCAAGACATCATAAACAACAAAATAAGAACAGAGCAGTGTCTTACCTTTGCATCAAGTCCTTTATCTGACGATGAACCACATCCCTTCCTCTGCAACATTCAGAAAAATAAAATAAATAAATAAATAATCCCCTTAAGTACTAATCAGTGCCCTGTTGGGATTTAGAGGGAAAATCAATTCAATTAAAGTACATATATCAAATTTCATTAACACAACGCAACTAAGAAACAATTGCAGAAGCCTTAATTGTCTTGACATAACCCCAAATGGGGCCATAAAGATGTGGAAGCTAGTCATCAGATATGCTAATTCACAAATTTCTACATGCAAGACTCAAGGTATAGTAGAATGCAGAAATGCCTGAATTCAGAAGTGTACATTTCCCATGGAAAGGCTTGTATGAACTCACATTCAAAGAATTCTTAGATATAGCCTCTGGGGTGCATCTGTGGTAACAAATTTGAAGTTACAAGGATATTAGGAAAAGAGAAAACAGTTAAATGTGTTAACCATATAAGAAACGAGCCTTGCCATTCTAAAAAAATTTGAGAACAAAGTAAAAGCAACAGGGATATATGCTTATTATCACATCAATTCAAAGGGAAAGAATAAAATCAGTGAAATACCCTGTGGCCCTGGATACATAGGGTGTTTGACGTAATTTAGGTCAGCTGGTAACCCACCCCTGCCACAGTAATGCAAACTACAGTTGGACAAAGTATGGCATATAAAAGCATGACATTTAGTAGCTTTTAATTGGTTAAATGCATGAAAGTTGAAGAGACTTAACAAACAGACTTGGAAAAAAAAAAAAGCATATTACCATAGAAAAAGATAAGCACGTTCCAAATTGAATTGAATTAGATAATACCCGAATTAGATGATATACAAAGCACTGCAATTTCAATTATTAGTTTCTAAATTTTGATTCGCAGTTGTTGTAATGCACAATTCGTGAGATAATAACATTTGACACTGCATTTGTTCACAACTCACTGGGAAGAAGGTAAGTTGAAGCAGGGTTCACCCCCATTCTTCAAGCGATGAAGAGCACTTACAGAGTTTTTTCTGTGTTGAGGACCAACATAGAAGTTGTTGACAAAGCACACCACTATGAGGATGACATGCGCTAATTCAACCCAAATGTGGCAATGATACACATTTGTTCTACTAAGAGGAGAACGAATAGTTCTCTGAATATTGCACATACATCTGGCCTTCAGAAGTAATAAATGAAAGAGTTCAATCTACTTATCATTCTGATAGTAAGATATAATTAGATGACCTATGAGAAATCAACCATGATTCTTCTATAAACAACTAATAGACCAAATTTAGCAATTCCTCTTATATGCATAAATTTTATCATTCTAATAGTAAGATATAATCTGTGTATAATTGTGATCATAAGCATCTAAATTCATGTTAGGGTGGTGATTACTACTCCATGTTATCCACAAAATTTGCAATGCAATAGCAGCACAAGTGGCCTTGATACCATGTTTCCCATAACCAGTAAATGCCAGCACCATTCTTTCTTTTTTGTTTTACTCATGTCCACAGCCAAGCGTGTAAGCATGTAAGAAATCTCAATTGTCTCATTACTATATTTTATATTTTCATTGCTTGATTAATTACTATAATAAACAAAACTGAGATTCAACAATGATACTAAGATGATGCCTTCCTTCTCGCCGTGTTCTATTCTGCCACTCTGGGAGACAACAGGGCTGTGAACTTGTGCATTGTATGTACCTTTCATACTAAATTTTTTGTTTTTGTTTTTGTTTTTTGTACAAATACACAATTGATTAACTTAGGTGATAAAACACTATAGTTACAATGGTGATTACCTTGTAATGCAGCAGAAGACCTTCGAAGTCCACATTTTATTATTGCATTCCTCTAAAAAAAATTTGATAAGTTATTGCATTCCTCTAAAATGGATGTGATTTTTCAAATTAATAATATTTAAGTGGGGAATATGGGACCTGGTGGGAGGGAGACATTGCCCATAGAGGTATGCATAAATTCACACACACACACATACATATACACACATACAAATATCAAAGATAGTGAAATAACAAACCTAAAGATACTTCCTACTGGGGCTGGCCAATCAAAGCATGCTGATAATCATCATCAAGATACAACACTCAGTAATCCCAAGAGGAATGATTGGCAAGCATGAAGGAACCCAAACCCAAATAAGGAAAGAAAATTCTCAAAATTTGCTTGGTAACATTGAATTACTATGAAATTCTAGAGTCTATAGAGACTACAAATGACAATCTAAATATCAGAATGCGTATGCACTATGCAAATACTCCTCAATGCTAACCACCTCGATACCCTAACTTTCCCGGAGAGAGAGAGTCTTACATTGAGATGACGGGTAACAAGAGTCCTGCTGGTTCAAATGAGCTAAAATCACAGAGCCCCTGGCCGATCTATCTCCCAATAGAGCGAACACATTATGCAGTCCCTTCACCTAATCACAAATATGAACAAAATTGAGAACAAAATCACACACAGAGCAAACATTTCAATATACAACATGAAGAAAACAATGAAAAAAAAAAAAAAGAAAAGAAAGAAAGAAAGAAGGAAACGATCAAACGAAGAACAAAAACCCCAAACTTCCTTTGGTTCGAGTTAGGGCTTTTGTTTAGTGAAGAAGCACAGAATACGTAGAATTCACGTTTTTATCTGAAACAATGAAAAAAAAACGCTAAATTACAGAGAATGCTTACTAAGATTGTACTTCGAGCTAGGGTTTTTGGCGTCACAGATCTACCGTGTTCGTGTTGGAGAGAGAAGGATTGATAGTGAGACCGTGTTCATGTAGGAGTGTAGGAGAGGGAGTAGGATCGATAGTGAGAGACAAAGTGAAATCAATTTTTTGGAAGGTTAGGTCAACAAATCGCTTGATCAGATTAGAGAGAAGGATCGTGCGCAAGCAGTTTGAAGAAGGATCGACAGTGAGAGAAATGTGGTCAGAATAAAAACACGATATTTGGAACCATGTGATGAGAGAGAGAGTGATCTGTGCACATTTCAGGGGAGGAGAGAGAGAAATAAAAGGGACTGTAGCTCTATAGGCAGTTTTTCTTGTAGTGGAAAGCTTACCATGCTCCCTCTGAAGAAATAATTATTAGTTCACCCCCCAAAATTGTATGCTAGTTCAGTTCCTCCATTCACGTCAATCCAAATTTTTTGGCCAAAAAGAAAAAAGAAGACTCTTGACGGTCAAGCCCTCTTGCCCAAATTGCTCAATCTGGCGGCACTTTCTAATTAGAAAGCCCAACATTCGCTAAGCTCTAGCTTGCTCTACTAGGAATGTTCACTAAGCTCTACATTGCTCTACCAGGAACATTCACTAAGCTCTAGCTTGCTCGACTAGGAAGTGACTGAACTTAGCAAATGCTATTGGTACCCAAGATCACCTGGTCATTCGCTTAAATTTATACAAATTGGTTTTCAGCAAGGGGCAAGAAGTACCAATTTGAAGGTCAAATATGTGCTGTAAATTGCTTTATTATCACAGAAGTGATAAGTTAGATGACCACAGTACCCAAGCTCCATAAGAAGGAAATTTGACTGAGCCACGACACCCTTGCATAATCAAACCAGGAATGCGATTATGAAAACAAACATGCTTCAGAATTTCTACAATTAGAAAAGTTTTTAAACTTTTAATCACAACAAAACAATAAAAAATGTGTGGTTTCTTGCCACTTTTACCCGTCAGAATCTCCACTACCAACCTTCCGCTTTATCAAACAAGTTTCATTCTTTCTGATTTATTGCAGTTGAAATTAAAATTTCAAAATTGATGCACAACATGATATGCCAAAATGTGAACAATAAAGATGAATTTGCATCATGAAGCTTAAAAGAGTACCTTCTAACCAAGCACCCCTCAGCAATGATTACAATATGAGCTCCAGCTTCCCTAGCAGAATTACTAATAGCCAAAGATACCAAGCACATCGCAAGTATGCATGTTGTCTATGCAAAAGTGTAAAATGTAATAGAACACACTCGAAAATGCTTCTCAACCATAGCTAACAGCGATCCAGATCAACATTTCAAACTAATACAGTTTTAAGCCGAATGTACATTTGCAGAAGTGATAACTAATTTTGCATCACATAAGAAATGAACACAAACTATACAGACTCAATGAAAGCATAGTCTATATCATGGATCCTAAGTGAAGACTTAAATGTTGAGATTGTTAAAGAGACCTTGCAAATTACATAACTCACAATATAATCCGTTGCGCCAGGAACCACAGAATGGAGTTGCAAACATTGGGAAATGTACAAATTTAACCAGGAAATTTAAAAAGGTCATCATAAATATTTGCAAATAGAAAACTCAAAGCAAACTCCAATATTTATATGGTGTATACATATATCTTTATCTATATATATATACAGAGAGAGTTATTCGAGAACCAAAGCAATGTGCCCCTCCTTGGAAAATTGTAGGGAAACATTGAGAATAATGTCACTTGTTTGTTTGAGATATGTGATAGCACACAAGTTCACATGCCAATTAAATATCAAAACTTCACCAAAGATCCAAATTTATTCTCCCAAAATACCAGCATTTAACAGGCAGCTAAGTCAGTTACGTACATTATAAAACAAAAATACTCAACATCAAGTCCGCAGCTAAGATACATATGACCATATCCCACAATCACCATCAGTTTGTCCCATCACATGATGTAGCATAATATATCCACTCCCAGGAGTATTGACATTCCCCTACCACACAATTGAGGACAACTGGCTTATTATTTCTGTAAATTTGTAGAAATGCCAAACTTCAATCAAAGTCTAATGAGCCCTGTGACAGATATTTAGAGTTAAATCTTCAGACAGTAACATTTTTGTTTATGAATGTCCACCCCAGCCTTATGAATAAGATAGGAAAAAGGTGAAAAGTGGAAGATGGTGGCAAGAATAAGATTTAAATTATAATGCTTAGCTTCTCAAAAAGTCTTTAAGAGTACAAATTTGTAGATTACACAAATATACCTAACTAATTGGGGTTTTTTTTTTTTTTTTTTTTTTTTTTTTGGCATGGACAGGTCACATACGAAGATATAACCAATTTGTACAAGTGTATATTTCAAACAGAAGGGCTCAGGTACTGCCTAATGTGTTACTTGATACCCATTAATACTCACCCAATGTACAAAACAAACAACTGGAAGGTCCAAATGACATATATCACATAGGAATTGAACAATACCATAGTTTTGATCTTTCCTTAGTGTGCATACATGAAAAAGAGAGTATTAGGGGATACACGTTTCCATAATAACAAAAATTAAAACAAAAAACAAAATTCAAATATTAAAATATTAAAATAAAAGTGTAACGAGAGAAGAATTTTTAGATTATGAAGTTTTAAAATTCACTATAACAACAACAACAAACAAAACTTTTTCCCAATTACTTAAGGATTGGTTACATGGATCCTATTTTTCCATTTAAAATTCACTATAGCAACAACAACAAACAAAACTTTTTCCCAATTACTTAGGATTGGTTACATGAATCCTATTTTTCCATTCTACTCTTAGGATTCATGTTCACACTGGTGCAAAGAGTTTAAACTAGTTGTCAAGCTACCTTATGTAACCCTCCTCCTTTTCCGGGTCTGAGACCATCAATATAAACTAAGGCACTATTTATGACACGGACTAGTTTTAAAATATATAGAATGTTGAATGCAATTGGTTTAGGCCCCAAACTAACTATCATAACAAGGCCAATAACTAGTCTAAATGGATCGCCCTTTCCTTATTGTCCAAAGCTTGACTACTGGACCTCAAATCAAATACCATCTAACTTCACACGAATGGATTTTGATCATTCAAAAATGATATAGAAAATATTGGGACTTGAGCCCTAACTACACCTCCCCTAAGAGAGTAGCAGCGGATAATACATGATCTAGGTGATTACCATCACATTTATCGTGTATTGGTAATTACATTTTTTTCTAATTTTATTTGAACCAATCCCATTATCATTTGGGTGAAATGAAAAGGTACAAAATTGATATGTTAAATATAGCATATCATTTTGCTAGGCAAGGACTAAAAAAGAGAGGGAAAATAGACTGAAATTCTCGTTGCAAAAGTCCCCAACATAAAAATAAGATCATCTCAAAAAGTTTTGCACTAGAATTTTCCTCCAAAACTAGTTGTCTTCTCTGCCAAACAAAAGGATAAAACAACAAACTGAGAAAAACAAAATTCCACAACTAGCAGTCGTATGAATTTTTCCTGACACAGAGATCAAACTAAAGCAAGTGTATTTTAAGAAAATATTCAGACAGCCCATACTTGAATGGATGGCTCATTTCTCCTGTTCAATGTGTCACCATTAAATCTTGGTCCCACAAAAAGTCCACGAGATCATTAGCGATCACCTCAGCAACTCAAATCCATCCGGATAAACATATGAGACTATAGTCACAACTTGATCCTGATACCATGCACACTAATATGTACACCCCTAAAACCAGTGCATTTCAACAGAATGAATAAGAATCCTACCGTGGTCCCTATTACGGAATTCATGGCAAGTGGTGCCTTCAGAACATCAGCCTGTAGTTATTCACATCAATGATAGTACATTAATAAATTGGTAAAATGGACACTCATCAATTGAACCCACAAGTTTAGTGAACACACACACACAAGAAACTCTTTTAGACATGTAAAAATTCCCTACATTGAAATATAACATAAGATCAGAAATATAAGATTCAAGGCGATGCAACACAGAAATAACAAGAGGTAAAATGATGCCTTCCAATAATTCTTTTACCCTTCCAAGGAACATTAAAAGATCAAATTAAATGTTCCAAATTAAACATTTCCAACAACTTTTAGATAAAATTTGGAATGAGATTACACAAGATTGGATGAAAAAAGGTAAACTTGAGCTAATGAGGAAAAAAATGGACACTTCTTTGCCATTGTGATGCTGGAATATATGTGTGTGTATATATATATATATGGATATATGTGCACAACAGTCCATAAAGTCAAATGATAAATAACAAGAGCATTAAAATCACGTAATAACCTCAAACCAATTATAAAAAACCTTCAATGCTGGGGACAATAGGAGTCCCTGAAACATCAACTGATACAAGTTAGGAAAGGATGAGATCACCACTAAAAAATCATAAATTACTAAAGTTAATGAATTTGTATTGACTTGATCAATGCAGGTACATAGTTTATGGTGCACTGCTTCCGGTTGGCAGTAACAACAAGAAACAAAAGAATTAACATGTTAACGATAAAAGGACCCAAGTTTGGAATATGGAGAAATAAAAATAAAAACCTCTTACACCATATCTTTTTTGCCCCAAGGAAAGAGCCCACCTCAGACAATGAGCCCAAAAAACTGATTTCTGTAACTTATTTTTCATCTTGGCATTAAAAGACAATGCATAAAATAAATAATAAATAGAGTAGTAAGCATAATTCATAAGAAAATCAAGATTCAGGAGCTGATGTGAAACTATTCATTATATTTATATTCAAACGTCATCAATTCTACACTTATGAAATAAAACTAAAACATTTAAACAAAACTTCTTCTCTATTCCATTGCTTTACATATGCTGATTTTTCAGCTATTTTCCATTCGGTTAATTTGTCCTAATGTTCTCATAATCCTTCAAGTAGGCTTTGAAACTTAAATTACATATTCAGGAAATCATTACAATTGATCAGCACATCACATAATATTTGCAGCTTTTGATAATTTTATCTACAAACATCACCGGCAACTACCTTCACTTGTCTCCTTATGGTATTATATCCTGAATAGCTCGGGAACAAATCAAAAATATTAGTGCACTTTCTGAACACACTTGATCCCAGCTTCTAGAGTTTCCTTCTGTCTATATTCTATGTTAGATGCATTGCTTGATTCGGCAAATACAACAATTGGTCATATAAGTCTCTGGCTCTCCCTTGCAAGAAAAACTACATTATGGACTAGAACTAATGCAAATAGTTTATATTACATTAAAACAAAATAAAATACATTATCATAACTCATTTTGAGAAAGATGCAATCAACATATACTTAAAAGCTGCCCTATCATAAGGAAACCATTTATTACATGGTTCATACATATTCAGAAAAAGAGAAATTATGCGGCTGACCTCATTCATATGAGCTTAAGGCCAGGATGATGATGATGTGTTCAATGGTACTTCTTCTGGGTTCCTAGGAAATATAATTAAACTTGCAGGATTCTCAGGACATCTATACTCAATTTGATAGCATGGAATTCGTATCTTACACTAATTTTTCGTTCAATTTCAATTCCAATCCACTGACTCCAGGCTTGTAGTTGCTTCTACAATGATTTTTTTTTTTTTTTTACTCTAAGGGCAGAGAATTAGAATGCATAAGATACATACATGTTGAATTGAACCTCTCGTCCCGTTTGGATAATTTTGAAATCATTGAATGGTTGAGTTCTTTATCAGGACCCAATAGAAGATACCGGACATCAACACAAGGCGTGAATGATAGAAGGACTCCGTTTCAATAACTTCAATCCATGTCTCTTTTCGCAATACCGGGGATGAGATCTTCGGGGGCGGCGGTCGAGGACGGCGACGGAGAGTCCAGAGGGAGCGAGGTAGGCGGTGGCGGTGAGGCCCGTTGTGGCCCTCGCCGATCACCAGCTCGTCCCATTTCTTCTCCTTCAACGCGCGCGTGGAGCTCGCGCTGCTGCTCAAGTTTATTGGCCACAACTCTCTCACACAGTCACTCACACAAAGTCACTGTTAATGGACTCGCGTGAATAGCTTTTGTTTTGCAACTAGTAATTAAAAAGCATCTTTAGTACGAATAATTAAAAATATTTGTTAGTACTATTTGTTTTTAAAGTATAATGATTAGTTTAAAAATATCATTTAAGAACTTTTTAAATAAATAAAAAATATTGTATCCTTACAATATCAAATGATAAGATAATTTTTACAAAATACATTTTTTTATTATTTAATGGACAATATTAGTCTACTCATCGGTGAGCGGAAAACTTATACTCATCATCTATGTGGCTCAATGTTAAACTAACAAGTATTTTTATATTTAAAATATTAAAAAATAATAATAATTTAATACATATCCTAAATGAATCTGAATCAAATTTTAATTATCTCTCCTCCGCCTCCTTCTCACGCTTCTATCGTGTAAAAAAAAATAAACCTGAAACAAAGAAAAGCATCTCGTGCTTATATGTTATTTGAGATCAAAATCACTAAATGCCAAAACCCTATAGAGAATATAGAGAATTTAAGTGTATAGTTAATAAAATAAATAAATAAATAAATAACACCAAATCATTGTCAAATACCAATGTTCCAGAAAATGATGACCAATTGCAAGGTCCTATTTAATCAGCTTCGGTAAATAAATCCAGCTCCAAAACATTACATTCGACATCGTTATGAATACTCTTGAATTCAACGTCACCAATTTTCATTTCCTTTCTGGCCTTGTGAATTTTTTGAAAGGTTACTTAAAGGTGCCATAAATTCCTGCCAATAATAAAATAGAAGCATGAAAAAGAAGGAGAGGAGAGATAATTAGAATATGATTTGGATCCATTTGGGTTTAACCCGGATAGCTATCAAATTATTTATTTTTTATTATTTTAAATGTAAGAAAACGGTCAGTTTATAAATTTTCTACTCATCGATGAGTAGGCAAGCATTGTCCTTATTCAATAATACAGAACTCGTCAAAAACAAAAATAAAAACACCAAAAACAAAATACTTAACCAAACATGCCCTTAGTTAGATGGGTGATGGTGAAAGCACAAAATTATTTACAAAAGCAAAAATGACATAACCTTTTTAATTACAACATTGCAATTTTGTTTTAAAAAACAACCTTTTTTTCATTTTATATAAATTATTACTTCCTACATAATTTCGGACAATCACTAATTACAACGTAATTAAATTAATTAAAAGTATCAATTTTTTCTTATATTAGTTATGTGTCATCTGATTATTGGTAGGTTTTAATGGTTTGAGACTATTAATAATTTCTCCTTTTTTTTCGTAGTCCAATCCTTATCCAAAATGGTCACACCAAATTTGAATAGGGAATTTAAAAGGAGAGGAAATGAGAAGGATTGATAGATAAAAAAATAAATAAATAACTAAATTCTTTCCAATTGATAGATAATTTTGATTTTTTTTTTCAAAATGATAAGATAGATTATTTAGGTCATTTTTCTAAGTACACCTTAATGTTTTTAGAGACTTAAAAATAGAAACATCATAAAATAAAAAAATCACATTTACCACTACACCATTCCATACAATTTTATTAAAAACTCTATACACTTTTAATTAAAAATTAAAATTAATGTTTCTTTTATTGTAGGTAACTTCAGATCTATATATTACATTCACACATTTTCATCACTCCCTCCATATTTGCACAAGTTGACACATATAAGGGACAAGGATTAAAAAACAACCTTAAAATATATTCCGCGTAATACTTTTATTTCTTATTTAAAAAAATGAATAAAAAACATTTTTAATATTTTCACATTGTGTAAAAATACCCCCTCTGACATAAATTAGTGTTGTAATACCCGTTTTGCCATTTTACTCTTCGAAAAATGCCCAAAGGGTTATGTATGCTACTAATCTCATAATATATGGGTGTTATGTGCACATTACCTTTTTTTAAAAAAAAAAAATTCTCTTTATATATATCTCTAAACATTTTGTTTTAAAATTTTTTTTTAAGAATTTGTAAAACAAGGATTTGAATTTTTTGAGATTCCAATTTATTCTTTTCTACTAAATTTTTTTTTCTTTATTTATTTATTTTTTTTCGAACCAACACTGTTAAACAAAAAAAAAAAAAAAAAATCCCAATATCAATGTGCACTGCTTTTCGGAGTTTGAAATTTTTTTATTTTCTTTAGTTTGCACTTTATTTTTGTTTTTTATTTTCTATTTTTATCTTTACTTTTCTTTTATAATTTTATTTTTATTTGATATTTTTATCTACTTGTCCATTGCCGGCATACTCCAACAGTGTCATTTTCTATCAGTTTGTAAAATTATTTATTTTTATATTTTTTATAAAATAGTTTAGTAAGAATAATTTAGTCAACTTGAGGTTTAAATTTGTTAGAGGGACCTATTTGCACCACATTGAAACTTTAAAGGTATTTTTTGCATGAGAGGAACATCCTCCAATAGTGTCTTTTTGGATCATTTTATAAAATTATTTATTTTTATATATTTTATAAAATGATTTAGTAAAGGTAATTTAGTCAACTTAGGGTTTAAATTTGTCAGAGAGACCTATTTGCACCAAATTGAAATTTTATGATATTTTTTGTACATAAGAGGGTGTGATATGCAATATTATAAACATATTTTAGGGATGTTTTCTACATTTAATCTTAATTATAAACAGTAACACACAATACTTACGTGAATATATACAATTAAACAAACACAACTATACACTACAATAATTCCCAAACCCATTAGCGACTGGGACAGGACATTGTATAGTATATTACACTATTACCAATTTTATTATTGTTATAGTTATTATTATTATTATATACATTCTTAAGGATAGTAGAAAATATTTGAAATTATCTCACTAATTAGTTTGATAATGATTTTTTTTTTTTTTTTTTTAACCCAAGAAAACAACTATTTTTGTTTATAATATTGGTAATTAAAATTTCATGTGTTTTGGTGATTATAATGATATTTTTGCTTCATATTTCGAGACAAAGTTACATGAGAGAATATTAGATTCTCTTTCTATTATCAAATTCTTATAAAAATATGTAGTTCAATTTATGGCATACCCTTACATTACATATATTGCTTAAAATGATTCACATATAAATTGAAGGGAGTACATTGAATTAAAAATAAAAAATAAAAAAAAATTATAATGAATACGTTACAAATTACTTGAGAAAAAATGAATAATCTAGAATTTTTTAAATATGGCATGTAAAAAAAATGTGTATAATTCTAAAATATGTGTATAATTCTAAAATAATTTAAAGAAACTACCCCCTCTGACATAGACAGTGGAGTGAGCTAAAATAGACAGTGGAGTCTGTAAGTCTTTGTTATCCAGACACTTGTTCTTCTCAAAAGACATCTAAACATCTTCGATCTACCAAAAATGGGACATTATTTACCTTTTAATTAAAGAATAGGACATTTTTTTTTCTCACTTAATCCATTAAAGAAAAAATGAATAATCTAGAATGTGTAGCACATACACGTGCACATAAATCAATATACAAGATGAATTCAACAATTAGGTTTCCCTATTTGCACATAGAAAATATTATAATAAGATTTTAATAAAATAAATCTACGGAAATAATATTTAAAAAGCATACAAAAATATATTGAAAAACACACAAAAATATATGTTTAACGTGATCAAGGACAACTTTGAAATGTAGTGTGAGAAACATAGAGGAGAGAAATCTATTTCTTGTACCACTAAAATAGTGGTGAATTGTGAGCCTCTTATGATCTGATCATTTCATTCTGTTGTGGATAAATATTTTAACGTGCTTGTCCATATATAGTCATATATATTATATTTTTTAGCAAGGGTTCGTTTGTTTATATGTAAAATATTTTTCAAAATTTTTTATTTTTTATTTTTTAGTGTTTAGTTGTAGTAAAATATTTATAAAAATATGATAATCTCCTTCATAAATTATTAGAAACCAACCTGTCAAATTCGCATTTTATCCCGATTTTAGTTACTAACCCGAAAAATTTTGTTTATCAGGGAACTTGTTAAGTTATATTTTAAATTCCTATTATACCCATCATTATTAATTTGGGTTCCTTTATCTTTTTCTCCCTTTTTGAGAGACATTTTTTTTTTTCCCAAACGTAAATGAACTCATGAAATTTAGATCTTATTTTTAGCATTTTTTTTAATATCTATTTTTATAGCTTTATTCTTTCTTTTTTTTTCCCTTTTTTTCTTCTTTTTTTTTCCCTCCAAATACGTATATACATATAAAATATTATGGTGGGTATTTTTTAAGTGCGTTATATTAATTTACAATATGTATATATACATATCAATTAGGTTTTAGAATTTGGATAATAAAGTTATTATAAGTTTTAGGGAATATGTATGTTCCATAAAAAGAATAATACAAAATATTCTATAGTGATATAATTATAGTTGAATTAAAAAAGAAAATCCTCGTAAACTTGGTTGTTATATGTAAAATTCTATTGGTTTTAGTTATTCTAATATAAATAAACATATAGTGGAACAATTCTAATCTTATTCGATTTCATCAAAGTCCTTACAATTACTATATAAATTGTAATCTCCAAATCATATATATATATATATATATATATATATATATATATAAAAATATTTTTTAGTAATGAAATTTAGGTGACTTGTGTCTTGTACAAGTTCAGAATATTATTATCAATAACAAAATTTGATGCATGAATTAATTTTACTCAAATTTATTTGTATTTTTAGTATTTAAAATTATAAGGGCAATTTTGACAAGTACAATAATTTTCTTTTTTCTTTCATTCTATCCAAACTAACAACATAATATTTTTTTACAATTTTTTTGAAAAAATTTCATGCTAACCAAATGCACCATGAAAACTTAATTTTCTTTCACTTTCACTTTTTACCATTCACTTTCACTTTCTATCATCTATTTTCATCTAACCAAACAAAATGCTAAAAGAATAATCCTAGACTAACAGCGAATGCATTTATCCTACTAGTGAGATAGCCCATGATGAAAAACTAAACAAAAAAAGTCATAAACATTGAACTTATAATTTATATTGAGGGGTTTAGGATTGTGCTATTTGGGCCGAGGGGCTACCCCAAGAGACTAGCCGAGCACCTCAGACCTTTGGGCCCAAAAAGCACACTCTACATTCAAATAGATTCAGACCGGGTTGTAAAAAGAAAAGTCAAGTTCTGCCACCCTTATATTAAAATAAAAAATAAAAAATAAAAATTAGACAGGAATTATCAATTTCAATGGGAAAAAAAAAGTACCGGAAAAAGAGAGTAGGTCCTTATAATGTATTGTGTAACAAGGGAGAGTTTGTCCCACGTTGGACCTCGATAGAAAAGTGTTTGGGTTGGGTGTTAGTCTAACTTAATAGTTTAAGTTTTTGGGTCAGATCGCGAAGCACTCTCCCATTACAATTGGTATTAGAACTAGACCCAATCTTTGATCTAGTGTTAAACCAAGCGTCCGTCCAGAAGGCGTCAAAACTTGTATAACATATTTAGTTCGGGAAAATCCATTATAACATATTTAGTTCGGGAAAATCCGTTTTTCATCTAGGCTTCTTCTTTTATCTTTTTTTGCTGATTTAACTATTTTTTTTTTTCTCCTTGCCTTCTTTTTATATATAAAAACAAAAAACAAGAAAACAAAATGAAGAGTCGTACACTGCATTTGAGAAGAATGAATATTTCTAGAAGAGGAATGTATTTATATTTATACCCTTCCAATTGTAGGACCATAGTTTTTATGATTTGTTAAAAAGATGAGGTGGAGTGAATTGAGGTAATAATAAAATTGAGAAGAAAAAAAAAACAAGAAAAAGAGAGGAGATAATAATGCTTACAAATTGACAAACTATGAGTCTGAACAGAATCTTTAAGCATTCTTCTTCAATCCATGGGGGTTGTTAAGGAACTTAGGACACTTACTTTCAGTGTACTGTTCTTTTAATTATTTATTTTCAGCAAGAAACTCACACCCCCAATTGATATCATGAGAAGTTAAACTCTAATCTCAAAGTGGAAGAAATATCACTAGTCTACAACTAGCAGTTCTTTTAGAAGAAAGTCTCTTATGTACTTAATTGAATAGGACTATCTGAAGAGAATAGAACATTCAGCCTTACATTGCCCAAATTTGACTGTTACATATAGATTAATACATTTGAAAATATCAGCTTCCTTTCCAGAGAATTGAATCTTTTCCGCATTTACAAAATGAAAGAAAGCTATGTCGACAAGCATTTTTCAGCTCACACAAGACTTAGAATAGTTTAGCATCCAAAAAAATGTCAGGTCCAAAACGATGCAGATTGACAGGCGTACGCCACTCCAAAAACCCTAACCAAACCCCGCATACACTAAACCAGTCTGTCAGCTGTTGAGATTGGAGAGCATGCCTCCACTTGCAGTTGGCATCACCACCTCCCAACCAGGCCCTTTAAGGGGAAACAAACTAACAGCGGCATCTGGTTCTCCCTCTTCATTTGGCGTACCACCAAGCAGATCACTGCGGTCCAAAACCCTTTCCAAATCTTCATCAGAGATTTCCGTTTGTATCATCCGTTCTTCGGGATCTTCTTCATCTCGGAGCAGTGCCAGCATGTCCTCCTGAAATAACACAGCTCCATTAATGGAAAAGTTTGAAGGGAGACATCTGCATTACATGCTAATATTGCCAAGAAAATCATTCAACTTCGTTACTGAAACAGTTAATCACTCAGAAAAGTGGGTTGAACGAAATGGAGGCAACCTAGTAGGATTTTACATGATAAAAGTTATATAGTACCGACCAATTGTGTTATATGGAGTGGAGTGTTGGACCTTATAAAAGAATCAGCAACATTGGAAATGAGAATGAGTGAATTGACTAGAAGAGATGGGGTCACAAATGAAAGTGCGAGGAAAATTAGGTGTTGCACCCATTGGGGAGAAAATTCGAAAGAGTAGCACCCATATGGAACATCGCAAGGAAACAGAAAGCTCAAGTGATGTAACATTGACATCCTTCTATTCTATTAATTGTAGTCTAATAAATCTAAAATAAGATGCACATAGCTCAGCATAATGGACAACCAAAATAAGATGCACATAGCTCAGCATGACTGCAGCTGAAGATTTTTTTCTGTCGAAAAAGCTGGCATCAGACATTCAGACTTGCATGTATTGATCTGGTATTGGACCCGCATACAACAAGGTTATGCCTACCGATTTCGTGACGAGCCCACCAAAATTCTAAGAACCCTGAGACAAGCCACACCCTAGCCTGTATACCCATTAAGCTCTTCAAATCGTAAACAGTCCAAAAGAAAATTTAAGAACACTCAAAGCAGATTTAATAATATAGTAGAAAAAATTTAAAATTTTGAATGAGTTGGAATTTTTGGAAATAACTTGGAGTAGGACAATTGAATCGTGTCAACAAGTGTTCATTTGTCTGTTGTAGAGGATGGAAAATATACACTATATACCAAAAGTTTTAGAAATGCAGAAACAAGTTATACCATGCGTCATTGGAAAGCTTGTATCAACCAGGCTCTCTAATAACCACATTGTCCAACAGAGAACTACAGCATGGCATTCGAGTACTATTGAGCCAACAGAACAGTACATATCACATGGTTGAAGATAGATTTCACAAACCTCGGTAAGATCTGTACTGTTAGATGTGGTTCTTTCTTGCTGAAACTGCCCCTTCCCAATCACGACATGCTCAAGCTTTAACTTACTGAAAGCTCTTTTCAGAATTCGACCCTGATAGCATATACTTACTCAGTTTCTTCCCATTACAAGTACAATAGTAAACTGCATTGTATAAAACAAAAGAACAAAGCCAACCATAAAGATACCTCCACAGATTGAGCTGTTGCCAGCCTGTAAACATGAACGGGCTTTGTTTGACCTATTCTGTGACACCGATCCATTGCTTGTAAATCCATTTGGGGATTCTGGGATGCAAATGAAATATGATAAACCAAAAATATCAAGTGCATCAAATGAAAAGGGCCAGAAAGACTGAAACAAGCTCAAGAAATAGAAAGAATAGTGGTTTGAGGAAGGTACCCAATCACTATCATATAAAATGCAGGTATCAGCTGCAGTTAGATTGATACCCAGCCCACCAGCCCTGGTGCTGAGGAGAAATATCCTGTAATTACTGTTCAAATCATTGAACTCCTTGATCTGTTTGACCAAAAATAACAGGTTATCACTAAAACTGAAGATGGTTCATCAAATGCTCTTTTTTCTTCTGTGGCAACTGAATCTGAAATGAGGGTAGTTTGCGATCAAAGCAAGCACTATAGACAAATGCATGGAGAGAAATTTATTCTAGGAAGCAACAATGAGACTAAACATATTCCTGGCATGGGTGCAGGCTTGTAAGTTTATAGAGGACACGTCAAAATTACATAGTGTGGGACTATGAGAAAAACAAAGAACATGGGCCCACGCACTCACACACACACACACACATGCACACACACAAAACCATATAACATCCCATGTAGAGAGACAGTGCATCATAACCTATCTAGAAAAACAAGTAATCGGTGATCATCCAAGTGGGGCTAACCAAACTAAAGAGTATATATTCTGGCAAATTTTATAAAATGAGAAGGAAAAAAAACATTTCACTTAGAAAACAGCAATTTTCTGTAAACCAAAACTCCAAATTTTAAAATTAATTTATAAAACTGACTTGGAGCAATATCAAATGTTAAGCGGTAGTAGTTACCTGTCTTTTCCTTTCAGACAATTTCACACTACCATCAATTCTACAAACCTCGAATCCCTTTTCACTAAAGTAGTAATCAAGTATATCTAATATCTTAGTCCACTGGCAGAAGATTAGAACCTGATTGAGAATATAACAGAAGTTAAAAGAATGATAATGCAAATTAGAGTAGTATGTAAATAAATAACCAATTAACTCTAATGTGTACTTTGTGCTTGCGAGTAAATAGTTTTGCCAGCAATCTGTCCAGCAAGTGAAATTTGCCGCACTGTTCAACCATCTGTTCTACAGGTGGATAGAGACCTGTAAAGAAAACAAGCAAGACAAAAATTCCATAAAATTATAGAGAACCCATTTTTTTAGATCTTATTGATATTGCAAAAAACATACAAGAGCCATCAAAGGCTGACTCTAAGAGATCAGGATGGTTGCAGTTCTTCCGAAGCTGAATCATCAGATTATTAAGCTTGCCTTTCATACCACATCCTGCATTTTTATATATAAACAAAGTCAGCAAGAAAAATGACAAAATATAATGAAAATAAATTGTCAAAAGTGAAACAAGTCAACCATCAGACAGAATGGCCGCCTAACAACAACGTGCAACAAATGGACTGAATTCATGAATATCGAAGACTGACTCATTGTATTTTCATCCAAGACCAATGCTGGTCAAATCCATGAGGATTGAGGGATCATAACACAAAAATGTTAATATGGCAACATGATAGCAGGATACAATCTTATGCCAAGTCACAAAACCAAATTGAGTTCTGAAATATGTCAATGCGGATTATTCTTGGAGGACGCCTTGGCATAAATCCCCTCTTCCGGTCTTGTGCTGTTAATAAGGTTCAATCTTACAAAGTACAGGGATGCCTCCCAATTACACAAATTTTGCCTTCAATTTTCAAATAACCTTCCAGAAACCGTACATTCTAACCAAATATTTTCATAAGAAATTTACAATGACTCGTTTCCAAGATACAGCTAAGCAACAAAAAAAGAATTTCAGTGATTGACTACAAAATGGATGTGTCTGCTCATTATTTTTCTTTGTTGTTACTAAATTGTTAATTGTCCATCTAATGCAGCTTTAAAGCAAAAATAGTTCATTACCAGCTTCCACCTTCTCTAGCAAATAATTTTCCAGGGTCTTATTAACTAGATGATCCTGCAAATTTTTTTGATGCTCAGTCATATTGGCATATAATATAATCTCTTTTTTCCGAGGGAGCATCTGCTCAACATTTGCTTTCATTCTTCGAAGGAGAAAGGGACGCAATATAGCATGGAGTTTGGCCACCACCTGCAGGCAGCAAAATTACGTAGAGTTATACATAAAATGCAAATAAAGTGCCGGAACAGTAAAGTGCGTGGTCAGTAAACATGTATACTTGAGCCTTTCTCTTCTCCTCTAATTCTTCCTTTATGGCTTCATTGTTGCACTTTCCCGAAAAATCAAACCTGAACATAAAAATCGTGTAATGAACAAAACTATCAGGCCATGGCAAGTAAATCATCACTTTAACCCAAGGCATTTATTGTTTTCTTCTTAAATTTATTTTTTTAAGAAATTCTACTTTTATAAGAGTTGACCATGGTCAGGGAGAATGATTAGAAAAATGCTCTTAAATCTGTGGAAAAGGGGTTTTAACATAAAAACCACTCAAGTTGCCTTTTAATTCTCACCTTTTCAACTGTACAAAGGATTTAGAAAGTTTTAAGCAGTAAGGTCGTAATAATGACAGGGTTGGGTAAGGGGGTTCATAGGTAGTTATGGAAGGAGCAAGATAAGAACAATGGTCTTAAATCAAAGGAAAAGGGTTTTCACATAAAAACCACCCATGTTGCCTCCTAAACTCTTTGAGGTATCAACTTTTCCAACTGTAATTATAGGTTCTTACAAGTATAGTGGCAAAAGAGACCATAGTGTTTCAAAATACATGGAAAAAAAAAAATTAAAAAAAAAAATTGTCGGAAAGTTATAAATGCTTACTGATATTCAAACTTAATACAGGGCGAATTATGTGCCTCCAAAATTCATTTCAACATTGTTATAACACAACATATTTTCCATGCCTCAATAAATTAAGAAAGACTCTACATTAACAAGCTCCTTGTCCATAATAGCCTAAGGTATTACACAAGAACCAGCTTACAACTTAGGCTATTATGGACAAGGAGCTTATTAATAGAGCCCTTTCATAATTTATAGGCATGGAAAATAAGTTGTGTTATAAACAACGTTGAAATGAATTTTGGAGACACATAATTGACCCTTCATTAAAAATAAAATAAAATAAAACGAACGCTTAAACTATGCACCAAACAGGCATCTGCTGCTTCACGATTCAAACATAGATGTTAAATGCATCAAAAAAAAAAAACAATTATAGGTTTAAAACTTCAATCTTTGTTGCAGAAAAAGCAAATGTAAGAAACAATTTTAAACTTCCATTATTGGGAATGCTGCATTTATCATGACAGATCCTGAATGCAAATACTAAAAAATTCCACAATTAGTCTTTATTTCTTTATTGTGTTGTCAGAAATAAAATGGATACTAAATCTGACATTAATTCTTTTGGTGCTACTAACTTATGTTTCAAATTACTCAAAAGAAAGTCTATGATGAGAGCTCTCCCATGTGAGCTCACACCCTCATCCAGTGGATGAGGGCCAAGCCTACAGTGATAACACTCTCATCATAGCTTTTTACTACTAAGAATTTCCACACAAATATATATATATACCAATGCAACATGATTCAAAAAACTACAAGAAGACAAGTTCCGACTTAACAAATACTATGGGTTCATTTACAAGTTCATGAGAAAATCCTATTTAATGGAAAAAGCCATGGTACTTACCATGACTCAAATTCTTCATGGGATGAGAATATATCAGGCAAAATGAAGTTCAATAAGGACCAAAGCTCAGCCAAATTGTTCTGCAGAGGAGTCCCAGTTAATAGAAGCTTATTTTCAACTGGTAACAACTTCAGTGCCTTAAATAATTTGCATTCGGAGTTTTTTAACCTGTGACCCTACAAAAAGAAATATACAGTTTAGATAGCAGAAGTACAACTGCCCAACCTGAGAACTCAACATTCGCGTATGTTTTGAAAATAAGATATTCATCCACGAATTTGATAACATACCTCATCAACCACAATATATTTCCAATTGTAGTGTCTCAAGTGCTTTTTCGCATCATTTAAAGCAACCTCATATGAAGTAATTATAATGGGGAATTTGGGGCCTATTGTTCTCGGCATGTGCTTCCTCCTTGTCTCATCTCTTTCCTTCTTATCCCCATGGTAGATAATTGCATTCAAAGAGGGAGCAAACCTTTAAAGGAAATGTGCAGAATGAATAAATATTAATCATACATAAAAGGAAAACTATATCTGTTGCGACAGGCGACTGCCACAACACTCACATGAGTGATGATATGTCACATCTCCCTTGTTAGTGTTGTGACAGTCGCCTGTCGCAACAAATAGAAGTGCTCTTTAATTCTAACTACTTGGAATCAGCTAATTCAATAGATCACCAAGACAGAAAATTACCTAGATATCTCGTTTACCCAATTTGAGAGGGTAGAAAGAGGGGCAATGACTAAGTAGGGCCCATCCAAACCCTTGCCTTTTAAGTGTGCTAGTAAGCCAATAGTTTGAATTGTCTTTCCAAGTCCCATTTGATCTGCTAGGATCCCATTTAGCCCATTTTGCCATAAAGATATCATCCATTTCACACCTTTAATTTGGTAGGACTTTAACTTTCCACCAGTCAACAAAGGAACAAGTTCAGTCTGCTCTTTCTCAGTTCTCTCCTCCTCAGTGAGGTTCATATCTTTCGGAGCAGTGCCTTCTTGAGACCTTGTAAGCATTACCGCAACTGCTCTTTTTGCCATCCTCTGAAAAATATCACCATTTTGTCACAGACCATTCAGACCAAAAAAATGTCACATTACATAAAGAACAAAATAATTATACCAAAGAAGCCACAAATGGTAGAAAAATCCATTGGCTGCAAGTCATAGTTCAAAGCTGTGCTACATGGACAAAGACAAAGTACACATGTAGGACATACAATTGGCTATGGGTATAATATATGAGTCCGACAAGTCTTTGTTGACATGCGCCTAAAAAAGTATATCCATACAGCTGTCCTATCATTTTGAGTTGTAAAATTACTCTTTCTAAACAACTGAATCATCTATGTTGACCACTGATAAGTACACCATTTTAACTCAAAAATATAGATACAAAATATAAATATTTAGCAGTGTCCAGTGAGTCTTTTCACCTTTGGTTGGGGATTTGATAAATTTCAATACATAGACATGTCCACCCGATGCTCGCACCAAAGTGCATATAAGATAAGTTCATGGTTGCAGTATTGAAAACTAAATTGAGGGAAGCGATCCAATATGATACAGTAAATAAAAGGCTTATAAATTCCAAACAAAGTTTTTAAAAATAATTATAATAAAATGGATCTAATGAATTAACAAAATACACCACTTAGAATATAGAACACTGCCTAAGTGATTAGTATAACAGTACTAAATTAGTCTCCTATGTATCATAATACAAACGTTTCATCAGCAGATTTTAAAAAGGAAAACAGAGGGTCTAAATTTGTAAACATATACTGTATTTATGAATATGATTGTTATTTTTTTGATAAGTAAAAATTTCAATTAAAAGCGTTCGAAATGGGTACACGTCCCAAATACAACAAGGCTAAGATACCAAGGAATATAGGAAATCAATAAAGTCCTCTGGGGAGCCACAGTATCTCCCCAATCCCCAAAAGAAAAGAGTGAAAATAACATTATGCTTGAGAACAGCAGTCGAGACCTCCTTTCCTTCGAACGCTTTACAGTTACGCTCCCTCCACAGACACCACCAAAGACACGAAGGAACCATCCTCCAGTACCTTCTAGCTTGAAGACCCACAATCACCCTACCCCAAGCCTCTAACAGCTCTCTCGTAGATCGAGGCATGACCCACACTACTCCAAACAGGCCCAACAGAAGGTTCCAACAATCCATGGCCATTGAGCAGTGCAAAAGGAGATGATCCACAAACTCGCCATTATGCTTACACATATAACACCGGTTAACAATGATCAGCTTTCTACTCCTCAAATTGTCAAGCGTCGAGATCTTACTCCATACCGCAATCCACGTAAAGAAGGCCACTTTAAGCGGCACTTTGGCTATCCACACAACCTTCCACGGAAAGCTCTCTACTGGACCAGAAAGGCAGCCGAAAAAAGATCTCACACAAATGGTGCCCCGAGATGAGGGAATCCAAACCACAACATCTCTTCCTTTCCCCCGCATCTCCTGTTGGTACAAGAGCGCCATAATACTGTACACATCGCCCAACTCCCAATCTTGAACAGATCTGTGGAAACGAACATCTCAAGTCGTCTTCCCGCTATCAAGACGATAGCAGTCAGCAACCAAAACATGTCTATCCACAGCAATTCGATACAGTCTCGGAAATAGGCAAGCAAGAGCCCGATCACCACACCACCAATCCTCCCAAAAGCTAATCTCCCTAGCCTCCTGAACTCGGAATCTTATGTGTTTGGAAAATTCATCCCACCCCTTTCGAATAGCTTTCCAAACCCCCACCCCTCCAGGACTTGAGACCGAACACGAAACCCAACCCCCTGTCTCCTCCCCAAAGCGTCCAACTAGAACTCTCCTCCATAACCTATGTCGCTCCATACCAAACCTCCACAGCCACTTCCCTAACAATGCCTTGTTGAAATGCCTAATTCTCCTAATACCTAGGCCCTCATACTTAATGGGTCTACACACCTTCTCCCATCGAACAAGATGATACTTGAACTCCTCCCCAGCTCCTCCCCACAAAAAGAAGTCTCTCAATAGACTCAGCCACCGAGACCGGAATATGGAAAAGAGAAAAAAAAAAATAATAAGTAGGAATGTTCGACAGGGTGCTCTTCAACAAAGTGATCCCCCCCCTGTTCATTTTCAAAATATAAAGAAAATTTAGAAAAAGTGAATAAGAAAACCAACATTAAAAACCCTCTTATATATACAGAATGTGCAATACCCCCCTGGTGTTAAAAAAAAAAACCCTACATTTTGCAAATTGAGCAAAAAAGAGTATTTTGTCAATTTGAAGACTAAAATACCTAAAATGCCCTTAAGCCAAAATAATTAGAAAAAAAATATTGATTTTAAGTTTAAGGGTATTTTTGGGTTTTCATAAATAAAATTGTTCAAAATTGACGATCAACATATATTAGGGGCCAATTTGCATATATTTTCAAATGATAGGGATTTATAAGCACATACCAAATAGTAGGGGTGTTTTTTGCACATTTTTATATAGCAAGGGGCTTTTTGGCACCTTACCCTTAAATATTTCACACAATACCAATAGTTAAAAAAAAAAAATTCATGGATACTCAAGGATCTACAATATTTCAATTTAACTTGCACCATAATATCTAGACCTGCAACAAATTTTAAATTAGCAACACAATCATACCCGACTAACTTAAAATATGAGAACAGGAAAAAAAAAAAGTGCTTCTTTCATTAAAAATATCAAAGCAGCATATTTAACCAGGGAAAAAATTTTAAAGCACCAAGTGTCTTGATTTATGCATTTGATGGTTTAAGAGCAAAGACAGAAAACAGACTTTGAGTGGCATTTGATAGCTGAAGATTGAAGGAGTAAGACTTTAGTGGTTCGTAAATGTGATTTGAGATGAAAGTGGAGATTTTTTAAAAAGCATACAGTTGAGTGAATAGGGAACCAAAAGCATTCTATTCCCTTTGCATGATAAGGCATCACACTAGAAGGTGCTGTCTCAAGGAAGAAGAACGAGACACCTCGTAATACCTAGAAAGGCAACATCATCTCCCTTATTTGCTAGACCATGTCATACATTTGGATTAGAACCCAACAAGACGAGGTATCTAGGGTATCAACCATGACTTCAAATCATGTTCCAAGAAGTTGGCAGATCATACAAAAATAAATTAAAATGAAAGGTTTGCCATCTATGTTGTTTCCATCAGATTAATCGGTTAAGATGAGAAGATGAGCAGCACTAGATGTTGAGCTTTAATAAAGTTTCTGATCTGAATTTTCAGACCACTCAATTGTTTTGAACCTATTCAGTACTGTGGCTGCTTACTTAAAACAATCTCAAGAGTACATTTCTTCTCTCTGAAAAAGTTCCAGTGATACAAATAAAAGATGACCTACCATTCATTTTGGTCCCTTCTTTTTCACACATCAATGGACAATGCCCTCAAATCATATATGAAAGCCAAGAATCATTTTAACAACCATGATACGCATCAATTAAAGAATTGCCTCTAATTCATACATAAGAGATCAATTTCCCTCATATTAGCATACTTGCTTTTTAAATGTATGAAGGTTTGTTTCCTTTTATTTGCTTACAGTAAGAAGAGCAACACACAATCAATTTTCAACATAAATGATGTACACAAAAATATGAATGAAATATCATAAAGAACCTTTACAAAAACAACATATATTGTCATGTAATATTTATAATACAAGAAGACATGTGATATGTTTTCTGGACTCAAGTGCAGATAACAACATCCGTGTCAAGTTGACATGTTATGGATCCAAGAAGAAGGTTCCAGCCTTCCAGGTAATACAGAAAATTAAATTTCTAAATCAATGCCCGAAGATAAGAGGGGATTACATTGTTATAATCTGTTGCTGCTTTTCTTTTTGAACCGCGACCTCTCTTTTTCACTTTCACAGTTGCATTGTCTTCTTCAACTCCATTCTATCAATAAAGTTCATATAAAAACTAAATCAGAAACAAGATAAATTAATGCTAGTATAGAAATTTCTTGAAGAAATAAGCATCAGAGGATACAAATGTGATGTCATCCATTTTCTCCAGCAGAAATTCTGAGTAAAGCTGGGTTTGCGTTAGAAGCTCGTCTAATTTAGTGAACTGGGTGTCATTCAAGCAGGGTTGCTCCTCGGGCTCATTCACTCTTTCTCCTTCCTTCACCCGGGCTTCCAGCAGCTTTTCTTCCTCCTCTGCCATGACTCTTGATATAATAGAAGAATCTCCATTTTTCCCATCCAGAAGTATTTCTTCCTCCAACTTGACTCCAATTTTCTCCTTGCAAAAACAAAAAAAAATACAAAATAGAGGAGAAATTGAGTAGACTGAAACCCACTCCGCACCCTGGGAAATATGGGGCAACGGAAAGAAAAGAAACTCTGCAACTGCAACTCAAAGATAACACGAACAGATAAACTATGAAAATATACATAACCGAAGTAGATAACATAATTTAATATATAAGAACCAGCAATGTAAGATGTTGAAGCACAAAATGCAACCTTGACACTGAAAGAGAAAGTCCCTTAAAGATCAATGAAACACTATGGATGGCAGGGACAGAACTTTCCCACGATCAACAACTAAAGGCATCCGCCTTTGAATTAGGACTCTTCCAAGATATTTGAGATTGACAATGATCATTCTATTCTGAGTCAACTAGAAAGTTCCTTTCGATTATCTCAGATTGATAACAAATAGATGTACCAAAGAGAGTGGTCAAGGAACACATCATTCTTTTCTGAGTGAACACACGGACTTTTACACGAATGATTATAAACATGATTTGGCTTGTGTGATTCCAAATAAAAAAATTATTAGCAATAAATAAGAAATAATCTGCTAACAGCTACTGCAATTATTGCTAATGGGCCATTAGTCCAATGGTATATCATATCCTTCCTCAAAGGGGGAGAAGAGGCGTTCGAGCTCCGTAGTGGGCAAATTGTGTGTGTGTGAGTACTTACCTTACCTATATATATATATATAACTATTGCAATCACTCTACTATAGTTCTAGAATAAATGGACCACACAAGGAATTTTTGTTTTCATTTGGCAGTACAGGTCAGCCACACAGAATAACACAGCAGCAGACTCAAATCCTTAACCAAAGAACTGATCCACATAACTTAGTTTCAGATTGAACTTGAAGTTGAAACTCAATTTGATTCTCAGAAAAATATTTTTACAAAAAGGAGAGAAATGTATTTTCATGACAACCAAGCAGAACAGAAGGCGGTCGATTGCTCTTTATTTTTTCGGGTATCACAATGACACAGAAATATTTATCCGTGCTAAAAACTCTAACTATCAAATAAACAGAACAAGTAAAGGTAAACTTCAAATGCAACGAGAAACAGAATAAAAGCTCAAAACAATAAAAAGGGCTAAGAAAATAATAATAACAATAATAATACACTAGATGATGAAAAAGGACACGACAAGTTTGTGCAAATAAAGCAAGATTTTTTGACAGATAAGAAAAGAACAAATTTATACGCACAAGTGAGGAGCTACAAAATGGCGACGATGTGAAAATTATATATATATATATATATATATAGAAAGAGAGACGGAAAAGGCAACAAATGCAAAATGGAAGCAAACCTCATCTTCGAGGACAGAAGTTGGAGAATCTGCAGCAGCAGCAGCAGGAGATTCGTCCTTCATTCCGTCATGGGCCACCATTTTGAGCTTCTAAGTCTTAACCCTAAGCTACTGAAGTAACTGAACCAATATTTAGGGGTATCAATCCACAACACACAATCAAATCAGAACACACAGTAACACACAATAAACCAAATGATTTTGAAAAAAAAAAAAGAAGCAAAAACTCTAGGGTTTCAATTATTTCCTATTTACGGAGCGATTTATATATATACGGATGTATAGATAGATGTGCGTGTGTGAAATTAGGAGAACTGAGCTTGTTTTTACCGGTGCTTGAGAGAGAGTTGCAGAGAAATGAATGCCGATGGAAGGGTTTTCGATCGGTGGTAGAGCTACTACATGTAGCACTAAATTATTGTTCTACTACTTGTCTGAGAAGATTTGGGCGGGAAATTGAAGTTTTTGTGTTTGCCCTAGAACCGTTCACATAATTACAATGGAGCCAAATGGGAAGTCGTTTTGAGTACTTCTTCGTCGTTTTCAATATTTTGCCGTTACTTTTCAAGCCAACCTGAGCTTACCCATACGATACTTTTTGATACTCAAGAATATACACCCACCAATGCTTGGTGTTGAATACTGTTCATTCTAGTATATAGTGCAACGTTTTTCTATATAAATATGCAGTATGAGAATATGAGAAAGCTCTTCTTCTTCTTTTTTTCTTTTTTTCTTTTTCCTTTTTTTTTCTTGTTAGTTTAATTTATCCGGTTACAAAAGACATATTTATTTTTGTAAATTAAAATATTTTTTTTAATTTCAATTCTAAAGGAATACTTAATCCGAACAAAAAATAAATAAAATTGTAATTCAATTCTACATGAATTTTAAAATTGGTCTGAATAGTGTATTTGAAATTGAATTTATTGAATTTCAATTACATAAAATTGAAAGTCCAATTCAATATTAATCTTGTGCAACCGAACACATCCTAAGAATATTTGTCAATCCGATAATCTAATAGGTAATTCATGAATGAATCGGATATCCGATCTGTTATTAGTCGGATAATTGATCCGATAATTTGATTCATTAAGGGTTTAATTTATTTTATTTAAAAAAGAATAAAAAATTAATTTAAAAAAAAAATTATTAGGATATGAAGGAGAAAAAATTGAAGTAAAAAAAATAAATTATGAAAGTAAAAAGGATTTAAAAAAAAAAATTAGATTTACTCTTTGTTAAAGGAAAAAAAAAAAAAAATTAACCAACAGGCCAGTGGCCTAGCGTCTTACTCCCCAAAGAGAGGTCAGGGGTTCAAATCTCAAAATTGACAAGTATGTGTGAGCACCAACTAGAACAAAAAAATAATGATAGTTTTGTAAGAGAAATAGGGAGAGGGAAGAGAAAGACCAACAAATAATTATAAAACATTTTTATAATATATATAAATGCTATATATTATACTATTAGATAATATGTGTTTAAATTATTATATAAAATATTATGCGAGATAGGATTATTATTGGATCATATTGACAAAAATTCATATCTAATTTGTCTAGTTAATGAACTATCAAATTCAGGTCATTAACAGCTTATCTAATTAAAATTATGATTCATATTCGAATTATCATATATTAGAGTTGGTTTAAAATTCGATCCGGTGAAAATTTAAAAAAACATTTATGAAGGAGAAGTGTTAAAAATTGATACACTTTTCGAGAAAATTCTAGAGGAAGGAAAGTTGCTCAATGTGAAAAATACGTGTATCTAGTAAAATCTGGATAGAACTTTTTAGGAAAATAAAATGTAAAAAATAGGTGTATTTTGAGAGAAAATTCTAGATTAATGTAACCCTGGAGAAAGTAAGAGGGTGGAAGTTGGGTTATAAATACCCAGGTATTGCCCCTAATTCCCAAGTCCAAATCCTTATCCTCGGAGAGCATGGTCTACAAATAATAAAAGAAATTATATTTCTTCCTGCCAGAGGACTACTGCTATTTATTAGGTATGAAAGAGGAGTGTTAAGAAAAGAAATTATATTTCTTCCTGAGAGCACTACTGCTATTTATTAGGTATGAAAGGGGAGTGTTAAGAATTGAAAAGAAATTATATTTGTTTCTGATAGAGCACTTCAACATAAAATGTTATAAAAAAATAATATGTAAAAAATATTTGCATTTGAGATAAAGTTCTAGATTAATGTAACTCAATTATTTCCCGCCCACCTTATATGTAAAAACAATTGTATTTAATTTTCTCTAATATTTCAATTTAAAGCACATATAGAATCAAACAAAATCTATATAATGAGTTACATATATATTGATGATTGAAAAAAAATATAGTTTGACTGTAAAAATGACTTTTTATAATAGAATTAAGTTTATTGTTGATTTTAATTTATAGACATCACCAATGTGAAAAAGAAGAAAGAAAAAAATCATTCATGTCATGTCATTCATGGTAAATGTGTGATAAATTTTGTTCAGTCACAAATTATATACATGTCAATATCATAGTTGTGAAATTTAGATTATAAGGAAGTTAGAACAACATATGAGATGAGTTGATTTTTTCCTAGAAGGAAAAATGAAACCTAGCTTCAACATTTTTTAATTGTTATTGTTATTTATAAGTAGAATCAAAATATTCAAATATTTTAGTTGCCATTAAAATGTAAGAAAGCACCCAAATCTTCAGGTTAGAATACATCAAGTGAAGAAAGTGTTTTGGTGATGTGAGGGATTTGGTACAAACGAATACTTGATGGATAAACTTGAATGTGATACTAACCGGCCCAAATGGTTTTTGTAATTTATTATTATTATTATTATTATTATTGTTATTATTATTGCTTGTTATAGATAACAATTCCTCATTAAATATGCAGTGAGTTAGCTAGTATTGTGCAGACTGGATCAAACCATAATTTTATGCACTTTCTAAATTACTTATAGGGCTTGCATACCCCCACCAAAAACCTCAACTTACTTTACTGCATCATAAGTGAGTTAATCGACAACCTGTGCTTAGTGAATTTGCATACTTTAGTGAACATGAGCAACGTTACAAAAATGAAATTTTAAGAATTACATAAAGGTTGGCTTAGTGCATGAGATTTTTGTTATTGTCACATTTAGATATGGAACAACAGTACGATGTACATGGTTTTACCTCCTCCACATAGAAAGATATTGTTTTTTCCTTAAATTTTATTTTTTTAAAAAGAGCTATCAATTGGTCTCTATTTTTTATTTTTTTTCCATAGTTCTCTCATTTTTATTTTTTTTCTTGCTTCTTAAAATTATTCCTTTTGCACTTGTAGTATATAACTTTTTTTAACGAGGCTTAAATTTTATGAATGAGACAACTATATTCAATGAAAGTATTACTAAACAGCTTTTAATTTTTATATTGATCAACTATTTTACTTTTAATCTTGTAATTGAAATCCTGACTCTGGTTGTGTCAAACATACCCTTATACAAAGAATCAAATATATTAATTATTTCACACATAATTGTACGTTGTTGACTATCAAATGCTAATAATTTCTCATAGTAAACAAGATGACACATTATTATTATTATTTTTCACATCTACATCTACATTGACCAGTGACTTATCCTCAGTTGATATCCCAACAAAGGAGAAACTACAAAGGCTTGTGAACATCGGAGGGAAGTAGGGGTGGCAATTCGTGTTTCCGGGTCGTAATCGTGTCCTGTCAACTTAAGAGTATTATACTAAATAACTCAATTCGAACACGACACGTTTAATAATCATGTCAAAAATTCTCAACACTAACACGACCTATTTATTAAACGGGTTACACGTGTAACCCGTTTAATGACCTATTTACAAAAAAACAAAAAATATATATATTATTTAAATTATTAATAATACTCAATAAAATTATAAAATAATAAATATTAAAAAAAATATAAGTTTTAATGAACCAAATTACTAACTAGTTTATAGTTTATGAAAAATTAAATTATAAGACACAAGTTTATATAATAATTTTATAACTTAAATAGAAATTTATTTACGATATATATAATTAAACGTGTATAAACGGGTTACGCTGGGTTGAACTTCTCAATCCAAACACGACACGATTAACTAAACGCGTTAATCGTGTCAATCCGTTTATAACTCGAACTTGCTTAAGGTCAATCCAAACTTATTTAATTCGTATCGTGTTCGAGTCGTACTGACAGATCGTGTCAACTTTTGCCACCTAGAGAGAAGTGAAGGGAGAATGTGGAAGGGTCAATGAAGAAGTTCTTATGTGCATTGTTGTTGTTGCTCAGTAGCTTTCAAGGGTCACCTGTAAAAAATTACATAGAGAGCAATAGTTGATGGTCCAAGAACAAATAGACAATAAATGGTTAAATAAACTAGTCCTGTACAAATCCCAAAACAAAAACAAAATGTAGTTGAATTTTTGCGGATTGTCTAGATTTATGAGGATTAAATAAGATGGAATGTGTTCTTGTTTCCTTAAATAATATATATATATATATATATATATATATATATATATTTATACATTTATTTTTCTATCCGGAACTGTTCTATTAAATAATATGAAGATGTTATAATTTAAAAAATTATTATATAATCCGAGAACATTAGATCTCGATTAATTATTTTTTAAAAAAATTTTGTTAACTTGTGATTTGATACATACCGACGCTATATAATAACTCGTCATTGCAGTTTACTTATTTACTTATTATTATACTCTTCGTTATGCGAGCATGTAAAAATATACTAGTTTAGTCAATAGGATTGGACAACTGCAGTTCTATTCCAAATTGGCTCTGCTTTCTCTCACTGTACTGACCAATACATAGCCCAATTTCAAGGGCCCAGTATCACTTACTTGTTCTGTGCAGTGTGGGTTTCCTAGGGTTTATGTATTATCCCCAAATCTGCAATTTGGCGGCAACATCTTGTCGAAATACTTTCAAAATTGCCCGTCAAATCTCTCTTACGATTCAAGTGCGCGTCGAAGCCATGGCATTCTTTGATCTCCAATCCCGACTTCAACATCTATTAACTTGGCTCGTAAGAACTAGAAATGATTGGCAAGGCCATCATCAATATGTATCTAAAGATATATATACAAAAACACATAGAAGTTAAAGCAAAATTCTATGAAAAATAAAATCACAGTCAAAGACATCAAGAAATGAATTGTTGTGATGCCTATTTCAAATCATGAAGCGATGCCTTTTGTTACGTATACTTTTGTATTCAAATTTTGATGGTCAACAATTTACCCACAATTTTTAACAATTAAATGTTAGGCGCTGAATGTTACACAACATCTTAGTCCCTTTATTTGCATGTTTTATTATCTTAATAATAGTTTATTTGTAATTTTACATTATTTTATTATTTTTTATTTTTTATTTCAGGGCTTTAATTGTAAAATCAGTCAAGACCAGTGATTCTGCGTTTTAACAAATGACATTATGTGGGATTGAGCAATGTTGAAGATCCAAGTCTAATTATACTTAGATTATAATTCAAAAAAAGTCACAAGTTGATAAGAATGGAAAGAAGAAGAAAAGGAAAAATCCTTCTCCAAAAATAAAACTTTCGCCAAAGTTGGTAACTTGAAC